CCTGTCTTCACCTGCCCTTGCAACTCACCGCAGACTCCAACACTTCTTCACCTATCACAGTTTCTTATTTTCAGCATTTTAAATGATGATGATCTCTGCATTAACCACTGCCCACTGAAGTAAGCAGCTTCTCTGACCAAGCACAAATATATGGATTTAAACATAAATGTTTAGAAGGCAGTTTGACAACATGACCATTAAGCAAAGCAGCACCAGTAGGTGCGACCCTCGGGCCTACAACCTCCCTACCGGGTTTGACCATGTTTTCAGTACTAGGCACGAATTCCCTCCTGTGGAGCAGGCCTCCAGTCCATCACGGGGGCAGTTGGGTACTCCTGAACACACATGTACACGCACACATGCAGATGCACACGTGCACGCACGCAGACACACGCAGGCAAGCATATACACATGCACACACACGCACACGCACGCACAGTCCTCCCTCTCTTCACAGTCATTTCGTGTGTGTTGCTTGCACGCAGACACACGCAGGCAAGCATATACACAGACGCACACATGCACAGGCGCACGCACACACACACGCACGCACACACGCACACGTACACATGCACACACATGCACACGTGCACGCACACACGCACGCACACACGTACACACGCATGCACACACGCACACGTACACATGCACACACATGCACAGGCGCACGCACACACGCACGCACACACGCACACACGCATGCACACACGCACACGTACACATGCACACACATGCACACGTGCACGCACACACGCACGCACACACGCACACACGCATGCACACACGCACACGTACACATGCACACACATGCACAGGCGCACGCGCACACGCACGCACACACGGACACACGCACGCACACAGGCACACGTACACATGCACACACATGGACACGCACGCACACACGTACACACGCACGCACACACGCACACGTACACATGCACACACATGCACACGCACGCACACACGCACGCACACACGTACACACGCATGCATACACGTACACACGCATGCACACACGCACACGTACACATGCACACACATGCACAGGCGCACGCACACACGCACGCACACACGTACACACACACGCACACACGTACACACGCACGCACACACGCACACGTACACATGCACACACATGCACACGTGCACGCACACACGCACGCACACACGCACACACGCACACACGCACGCACACACGCACACGTACACATGCACACACGCACACGCACGCACAGTCCTCCCTCTCTTCACAGTCATTTCGTGTGTGTTGCTTTCGGGTTTATCCCCTGTGCAGGGAGAGCGGCTCTTTGCTCCACACCATTTCTGAAAAAGAGAAATGTTTTCACGACTTTGCGTCCTCGGCAGATCAAGCCGCCGTGTGCTCGGAGGCCTGTGCCTGGCCTGGGTCAGCACGTTGCGCTCCGCACTCTGCGGCGTCTGCTGAGTTCTTGGCGCTCATGGCTTTCGGTCTTCTTGCTACAGTCCGTCCGTGCTCTGGCTGCTCAGGGCCTGCTTTTCCTTTACACACAGCTTTTAGCAGCAGCTCGTCTGACTCTAAAGGAAGTGTCATGAGGCTCTCAGTATAACCAACAACGTACGTTGAAGATGACCGCCCTTCCTTTAAAGTCTGCGCAGCGGTGGGTTTTTCATTGTGCCCGTTGGAGAAGTGCATGGCGTCTGGGCCTTTTCTTTCTTTTTTTTTTTTCCGGAGCTGAGGACCGAACCCAGGGCCTTGCTCTTGCTAGGCGAGCACTCTGCCACTGAGCTAAATCCCCAACCCCGTCCTTTTCTTAACAAATTGGTGAAATGCTTTTTTTAATTATCTCGTGGACCCAGTTGTGGTTTTCTCTTGCATTGTCTTTATCGTGGTGGGAGAGTAGCTGTCTCTGATGTGTGGAGTATTTCACCTACCCTTGCAGCCTGAGGTTGAACCTGATGTGGTCCAAGTGTGTTATCCTCGTTCTATATTCCGGGATTGGTCGAAGACTCTTTTACTTGAAGACTTGTCTTTGTATGTGTGACAAGATGAACATTAATTAGTAGGACTTTAATTTATTTCAATTTCTTTTGGTAACGGTTGTTATTTGATAGGGAGAGAGCGAGAAAGAGAGAGGAAGAGAGAGAAAGAGAGAGAGCCCTTGGTGTCAGAATAATTATAGTCATAAAAATACTAGGCAGTCTTTCTTGTTTATTTCTGGTGGCATTTCTGAAGGATTGTTACTAATTATTTCTGAACTATTTGGAAAAGCTCACTAGTGAAAATAAGAATGGCAATTTTATTCTTTCAAAAGTTTTGACAATAAACTTAATTTCTACATTAGATATAATGCTGTTCATATTGTCTGTTTAATCATGGGTGAATTTTGGAACTAAAAGTTTCAAGCAGCTCATCTAGGAGGTAATAATATTGTTTGAAGAAAGTCATTCTTTGCAGTAATCCCTGGTGTTCAATGACAGGGAGACCCGAAGCAGTGATAACTTTTATTTTTATATTTATAACTCGATATGTGTCTCCTCTTCTTTGAAAACAGTTTAGCTAAGAATTTACCAATTTTGCTGATAGTTTAGAAATCAACATTCGGTTTAATTTCAGTGCAATGTTTTCCTTGTGATTTTTCCTTCTTCTTCCTAATTTTATTTTATTAAGCATCCTATGGTTCAATCCTCCAAATTCTGATGATTTCAGTCAGCTCTGAATGTGCTCCAATTTCCACTGAGATGTCTTTTCTTCAACACAAATTATTCAAAAGTGTTGTAGTTAATTTCCCACTGTTGAGATGCTTTGATTTTCTTTATATTGGTTGTATCTGATGTAACTCCTGTACGCTCACTGCACACTATGTATTCACTGATTTTAGTATATTGAGTGGGTTTGCTAAATGACACCAGAATATTATCAGTTCCTTTAACACTGACGGTGCCTTCTTGAGGGGCAGAGCTTTTTATATACTCAACCAGATTCCATCCTTTGGTAGCAACTTTTACTTTCATGATGACTGAAATTTGTTAATTGTTTTTGAAAGTACATGAGAAGAGTGAACTGACATCTTGAGGTATATTATGAATTATTTCACCTGTACTTCCATTCTGGATTTTCATTCTTGCATGTCATAGATTCACTGTTTGTTAGATGCACCGTTAGGATCACTTGATGTTCTTGGTAAATTGAATCTTTACCCTTGAATATCCATTCTTATTTTTAGTTTAAGAAAAAAAATTATTGATTCAAGAATTTCATACAGTGAATTTTCAGATCTCTTCCCTCATCTCCAACCTCTCCCCACCACTCCCCAAGACCCTCACACCCCTCACTTCATGTCTTCCATTAGCAAATGAAAAAGCCCATCATTTTACATAGCGCCTCTGACCTGGGTGCTGGAGAAATCATAGCTTATCAGAGTGTCATTGATCTATAATTCTCACACAGAGCTGTGCTAAAGTCAGGACCCACTCCTCTTCTTTTGACACTCTTCTGGTTCAGAGCATGCCAAGGTGTTTTGGAAGGTTTTCTCTTAATTTCTGTTTCCTTTATACATTGCTTAGGGTGTCGAGTGGGAGTTTTCTTTTCCCCTGGTGGTCAGAAACACTTGATTTTCCTCATCAAAGTCAGTTGTTTGCAGCCTTTACCTGCAGATTGCTCTTTGGGTGTTTCGGGATTCACTCAGCACAATGACCAAGGTGTTTCCTGACAGGATGATCCCCCTCAGGGTTCACTGTGGGTGAAAGCAGAAGCCAGGTCCTCACAGCAGGCAGCAGGTGTCCCACAGGCCTCCAACCCAGGATTCTCTGAGTGACGGGACGTTTCTCAGCATCACACCAAATTCCTCTAATTTATTTTCTGAAATCTGTAGACTTCTGAGACTCCTGTTCTTGAGGACTGTTGCCGGGTGTGGTCAGCCACTGGGTGATGATGGTCAGCCAACTGTGGGTGCCAGTCCTGCATGTGGGTGTGCATACCAACTGGCTCAACCCTGCCTGTGTGGTGGGGAGCAACCAGGCCATCATGGCTCCACCATCTGGCTTTTCAGTTATTTTCCCACTGTTTTGCCAAGTCCTGAGTTCAGAATTTTGAGATCCATATAGAAGCATCAATATTCAATTTACTTATTTATTTAGTTTTATTTTATGTGTATGAGTGCTATGCCCACATGTAAGTGCACCTGTGTTGTGCAGTGCCTGCGGAGAACAGAAGAAGGAGTCAGATGCCCTGGAACTAAAGTTACAGCTTGTTGTTAGCCACCATGTGGGGTCTGGGATTCAAATCCAGGTCTTCTGCCAGAACAACCAGTGCTCGTAACCACTGAGCCATCACTGTACCTCCAATATTCTTACTAAAATGAGTCCCAGAGTCATGTTTTAAGTCCTTCTGCTGAGAGTCCCCACCCCCACCATTGCTCTGACTGTGCGCCATCTTGGCCCTACAATGACTTTCATTCTTACTCGACAAATCCTGAGTTCAGAATTTTGAGATCAATATAGAAGCACTGGAACAGGTAAGCACTCATCTCATGTGATGATTCCGCAGATCATCCATTGCACACATTCAGTCTCTTAAGAGTGCGGTGTCCTGGGCCCTGAGGCCAGCTGCCAGTGTGTGCCTCATTGCACACATTCAGTCTCTTAAGAGTGCAGGTGTCTGGGCCCTGAGGCCAGCTGCCCAGTGTGTGCCTCATTGCACACATTCAGTCTCTTAAGAGTGCAGGTGTCTGGGCCCTGAGGCCAGCTGCCCAGTGTGTGCCTCATTGCACACATTCAGTCTCTTAAGAGTGCAGGTGTCTGGGCCCTGAGGCCAGCTGCCCAGTGTGTGCCTCATTGCACACATTCAGTCTCTTAAGAGTGCAGGTGTCTGGGCCCTGAGGCCAGCTGCCCAGTGTGTGCCTCATTGCACACATTCAGTCTCTTAAGAGTGCAGGTGTCTGGGCCCTGAGGCCAGCTGCCCAGTGTGTGCCTCTTTGCTGTGCCATCTTTTTTCTCAACACCATGACTGTGAGCTCTCTGGTCACGTTCCTTCTTGGACGTATCAAAACTCACACTGAACCATGAGTTCTGGGTAACAAAGGGTTTATGCTCTAAGGCACTTGTCTTTTGTGCCATTCTCCAGCAGTGGAGCAAACACACACCAAGTGCTCCGAATGTCCCTTTAACCCTGGGTGAGTTCTGTGAATCCGAGTCTTCTCTTTATTTTATTAATGTAGTCAGTTCATTCAGTTAATGATTATAAGGTTTGATATAATGAGAAATGTAAACTGGGAAATTAATTCAACCAAGAAAGTTTATGAAAACCCCATTTTTAGCTGGCTAGTCAGAGCTACAGATAACAACTATGACATGAGACTGGTGTGCTAAACAGTGAGCAGGATGCCTGGACAGAGACTTCAGCCCGCAGACCCGATGTGCTTGCAGGCCCCACACTCTCGCTGAATGGGTGGTGTGAGAACAGAGTACGAAGAACATGCAGCAGACAGTCACCAGAGAATTGGCTGTTCCTGTGTGAAAACCCACACACAATCTGGGATAGCCTATTAGGGCCTTCGTGACCATTTCGACTCTGCTCCATCAAATCTGGTTTTCATCAAGTCTTTACAGTGTCTCACATGTGTTCTGTTCTTCTTGGTCTTTGATCTCTCAAGCATTTTAATGACAGGGATATTAAACATGTTATTTTGTTTTACTCAAAATGTGACAGAGGGTACTGTGGCAAATAGGGAAGCCTCCTAAAATTCATTTTCACCATATTTTGTAGAAGGATATACAGCGGGGCCAGATGCAAATCAAGAGGTATCAGTGTCCAATGGAGAGCACAGTCACTCATTCTGGGGCCATGGGAGTAAATATCATGACAGCTTACATAGTGAAAGCTGGGGAACTGTAGACCAACACATTCCAGTAGCAGAAACCCATGCAGCAAGGCACACAGGATTGCAATAGGGCACATAGAAGGGCTCTCAGGATTACAGCAAGACTCATGGGGTTACAGCAGGTCACATGGGGCACTCGGGGTTACAGAGGGACAGAAGCAGTTACAGAGGGGCATGTGATGTTACCGCTAGGCACAAGGTGTTATAGAGGGAAAAAAGGGATTGCAGAAGGCACATGGGATTAGATCAGGGGTCACAGAGTATAGGTGTCTGGAGCTTCTACCTCGCCTTGAATAGAAGGTAAAATGGATATTAATGGCAAACTCATGAAGGGAAAACAATTGGCATCCAGGGCCCAAAACTTGCTCAAATGTCTAGAAGATCAGTGTCCCCTGGTTATAGGATAACTCCTCTTAATCTCTTTTTATGATGCATATCCTTTAAGAAGCTTCTGGAGTGGCAAGTTTCCATAGGGCATTTTCTAAGGATCTTTCATGTTACTTATCCCTCCCTACAGTACCCCCCTCTGGCCTGCCCTTCCATGTCCCTATTTACCACTTTTAGTCTAATGTTCCCTTTTCACCATATCCCTATATTCTAGCTCCCTTCCCAGAATACCCCCCCCGCCGCCAAGCACTGTCCTTTACTAGTTTCTTGACTTCTCTGAATTTTCATATCGAAACTGAGTAGCTAAGATTTCAAAGCTAGCATTCAGTTACAAGAGAGAACACGTGACGTTTGTCTTTCTGAGTCTGGGTTACAACTCTCAGGATGAGTGTTTCCAGGTCCATCCATTTACCTATGAATTTCATAATTTCTTTTTTAAGAGCTGAATAATATTCCGTTGTGTATATGCAGCACACTTTCATCAACTTTTCATCATTTCCTCGACATCTAGGTTGTTTCTAATTGCTGGATATTTGTAACAGGACGGCAATGAACACAGACGAAAAGGCATTTCTGCAGCCGAGTCTCTGGGTCTGTGTATAGCAGGGGTCTGGTTGTATTACGAGGCATCTCCACAGTGATTTCCGTAGTAGTTACACCAGTTTACACGCCCACCAGCAGTGGCTAAGAATTACCCTTTCTCCATATCCTCACCAGAATTTGTCATTGTTTCTTTTTGCCATTCCAAGAAAGGTAAAATAAAATATCAAAATGGTTTTAATCCACATTTATCTGATGATTAAAGATGTGTTTCTCAACTATTTGTGTTCCTTCTTCAGAGGAACCCCGGTTTAGTTCCTTGCCCCACTATTTTAAGTGGGTTGTTTGTTTTTTGATATTTAGCTTTTGGAATTCTTTGTACATCTCTAGATACTGAGCCTCTGCATAGCTGGTAAAGACGTTCCCACACTGTGTAATTTGCTTTGTCACTTGAATGATGGCGTCCTTTGATGTTCAAAGCCATTTTACTTTCATGTGGTCTCATTTGTCAATTGTTGGACCTAATGCTTGTATTAGAGTCTTATTCCGAGAGTCCTTTCCTGTGCCTGTAAGTTCCAGTGTGTTCCCTACTTCCTCCTCTAGCAGATTCAGGGTATCAGGTCTTATGTTGAGGTCATTGATCCACCTGAAGTTGAGTTTTGTGCCTGGTGAGAGACAGGGATCCATTTTCATTCTTTGCATGTCCAGTTCAACCAGCACCATTTGTTTAACAGTTTCTCTTTTCTCTAGTGTGTATTTGTGCTTCTGTTGTCAAAAGTCAGGTGGATGTAAATGTGGAGATTTAAATCTGGATCTCTAATTCTATTCTACTGATCATTTAGTCTCTTTTATCTTTCTAGACATCATATACTAATGAAACCAAAACAAAGCAAAAAACTTCAATGCCAGGAATGGACTCCCTCTCTAGAAGCTGTCCATCAGGGATCACACAGAGATCTGAACAATATTGGCCATTGTCCCTACTCTTGGTTACCTAGCAGAACTGAATGTAAGATCCTGCTGTTGAAGACCATCCATACATGAGTTGTAGAACAAACAAAGAGAGATCAAGCTGGTGCTGACTCCCTTTACTGGCTAACTTTCATAGTGTTGGAAGATGTTAATGTATTCTAATGGAATGAAAGAATAATCATCAGACTTGCCTACCTGTGAGTCCTGTGAACTATAGTAACAACTAGCCTGGAAAGACGCCCACTGGTGCAACAGTGGTAAAAATATTATGAGAGTAACTAACCACTAATTAATTGGATTTAAATCTGCTTTCTAATATAGAGCCCATTCCTGACAATGACATCAGCTTAGGAACTAGAGGTTAGACAGGTCATAGGACATACAGGAGAATGTAGTACTAGTTTTCTACTAAATAGTTATCAGAGCAAATGGACTCTTAATGACTTATCGTTATACCCATAAATTAATTCATCTCTGAACTCTTATAAGAGAAGTTTCATTATGCAATAGGTAAAAACAACTGGCCAACTTCCAGAGCACAAGAGCCTACAGACTGTTTATCCCTGAACTGGACACCTATATCAAACTTCTGCCTCCCAAGGCTCAGGGATCACTGTGGAAAAGGAGGCAGAAAGATCAGAAGGTGATAGATGACCACAAGGAACCAGAGTCTTCCAAACAGCTAGGAAGTTATTCTTATGAATTCATAACAATGGTGACAGCATGAACAAGTCCCAAGCAAGTTCAAACCAGAAAACATCACAGCACAGATGTGAGGAAAGGGTAAGATGTTCCATCCCCACCTACGAAAATCATGTCAACCAATGGCTGCTGGGAGGGGTAAGGATCATCTCCTCAAAGCATGGGACGCTTGGGAGGTTAATCAGGTTCCAGTGGATGGACCCTCACTGAGGGACATTGGGGACAGTACTAGACTCTATATGCCTTAATATATAAAAATAACATTAACAGCCATACTACAAAAGCACTATTTCCATCACCCTTGCTCTGTATTTCAAATCCTATTATTCAGATCTTGGCCAAGCTACTGGCCTAAATATTCTAAGAAAGAGAAATTTTGTATTTTGTATTCTTATACCAAAATTACATTATTTTTACAAAGATATATTTTCTTCACTATGCCAGGAAAGGAGAAAATGTATGTATGCCTTTTTATTTTTAGAATGACCATATCCTGGTTGCCTCCTATGTTTCTCTCTTTTCAAGCATTCCATCAGGATGTAGGAGCCAAGTTAATTGTCTAATCCAGAGAAAGAAAGCAGAGGTCTTTTCCTGGGCACCGCAAGGTGCTTAGAACTCTGATTCCCTGTGCCAAGCAGTGTTCTAACACCTCAGCCAGTCAGAAAACACCATCTTCTCTCAGCAGAGCTGCCACAACTGGGATGTACCCAGGAGTCTGCACCCAGAATCTTCGATGTCTCATGGCTGAGTCTACACTGTGGCCAGTCATAGAGCCCACAACCCTCCGTTCTTTCAGGTTCTTGGAACCTAATTCTCCCTTAGGTTGAGCACAGCATCATTCCTGAGAAATGCTGGCCCCCAATTCTTAAAGCATCTATTCACAGGTCTTAGTCCAATAATAAAATACTTGACAGTTTATACATCTGACTTCTCTACAGTCACCCTCATTGTTTAAAATTACAAGATACATATTTCCCCTTATTTAAAACAAACAAAAAAAAAGCTAAGCGAAATAATGCTTGGTTAGACTTCAAAAGCAGCGTGTTCTAATAAGAACAGAGACATTTATCTCTCTCTCTTTCAAATAAAAGAAAGAGAAAAATGAGTTAAGCTTACATTACCTTAAAATGCAAGGCATGATTTCTAAGTTTATCTTAGATTTAGAGACATAATCACCTGGGCCCAATTTAATTGATGTTGGGGCCTGGAGGGACTCAAGTCAATGTACCATTGATAGAAAAGTAAAATAGAAATAAAGTAGTATAATGAAAATGAGAAAAAATAGTTTAGCAATTTTTCCTGTGCAATAGAACACACAGTGTTCTCAAAACTGTTAGGTGGTTAGGACGCAATCAAATAACCCAATGACTTCCTCAGTACATGTGTGATGGCTAATGTTCATTATCAACTTGATGGGCTTTAGAATCACCCAGGAGATGCACCGAGGACATCTCTGTAAAGGAGGCTGGGGAGGGAAGCTCCATCCTGAATGCCATGGCATGGGCTTTCAGACCGAAGGAGGAGAAAGCAGTCTGAGTATCTGTATTTACTCATTTTCCTTCCTCACTGCGGACTGCCCCCACCACGGACCACACCCTGTCAGATCAGGGTCCTGCCACCATGCCTTCACACCACATTGGTGAACACCCTGGAAGACTATGAGCCTTCT